CCACTCAATTTGCAGTCAAAGACGTCCTTTGATGACAAACCGGTTAAATTGTCGTCTACTGACCGCGGGACATAGTGAGTCTGAAGGGATATAATGCAAATTCATGTGTACATACATGACATTTTTCTTTTCGGTGGGCCCATACAGTGCTTACCTTGAAATTTACAATTCTGTGGTACTTGTATCGCCTAAAGAAATGTTGGTAAAAGCATTTAAGGTTTGGTTTACTGGTGCATGATTTATTTTTACTAAATCTTAATGAAACCTTCTTCTTCTCATCATCTTTCCTCTCTTTAGGCAGTCTAACAGGTAAATTGAAAAGTTCCCGCCTTAACACAGAGATGGCGCTACTAGAATTAAATCCATTTTATTTTTAGTTACACCAAACCATCAAAAGGTGTATATGAAAATTTGACAGCTGATTAGTTTGTGAAATACATATATAAATTTCAGTGAAGGAACTTTCATTACAATGAAAAAGAATGGTTAAAAATGAATTTCGGATTGCTGGACTGGATTGATGAACATTATTTTCACCCTTTTTGAAGGAGGCGAAATGAGCATCGAGGAGGATGAAGGCGGTGAACGCCCGAAAGAGATTGTTACCGATGAGCATCAAAATCACACATAATTTTAGATGGCTGTAAAGTGAAGTAGTTCGCGATAGCAGACACACTAAGGATATCAACTGAACGTATACATCATATCATTCACGAATATTTGGGTATAAGAAAGCTCTGTGCAGAGCGCATTATTTGACCAAAAGCAATGGCGAATTGAGCTTCGGAGCAGTGTTTGGAGATGTTCAAGCTTAATAAATCAAAGTTTTTACATCGATATGTGGCAATGGATGAAAATTGGCTCCATCATTTCAATCTGAAGTCTATCGACAATCATTCAAGTAGACTGCACACGATTAAACTGCTCCAAAGCGTGGAAAATGCAACAGTGAGCTGGCAAGGTTATGTCGTTTGTATTTTATGAACTACCTTAAAAAAGGTTGGACCGACTATTACATAGCGTTACTGGACCGTTTAAAGGACGAAACCGCCGAAGAATGTCAGTATTTGAAGAAAAAGACAGTGATGTTCCACAAAGTCAATGCACCGAGACATAAGTCAGTGCAAGCAATAGAAAAATCTATGAATCGGTCTTCGAATTGCTTCTTCATCCACTCTATTCTGCAGATCTGGTCCCCGGACATCAAAATAACGCTCGCTTCTCGAATCTTCATACCCAAAATTAAGAAATTATTTTTGTAATAAAATGTTTGTGTTAAATAGCTCGAGTTTCTAGACTCACCACTGCCTATAGAGACCCTCTAAAAGAGCAATTATAAAAATACTTTCAAATATATCCCTAATAAAACTTATGGATTTCTTTCACCTAACTATCAAAATAATTTGTGAAATTTAGAACTTATTCTAGGGTTTATTACGGGTGAATATTTTTGCACCAAGCCATCAATTTCGTTAGAATTCGATCTTGAGGTCTAATCGACACCAACAAAACGTCATTTAGTAAAAATTGGTTTCAGAGTCTTTCCGGCTCCATGCGCTAGCTAGCTCCATATGCCTTAGATTACTCAAAGCATCACTCGTTTGGTAGCAGTGTCAACTATCATACGTCTGAAGATACCAAAACTCACGCTGGGAGATATTACCTCATTAAGAATATAAGTTTGCTGAAAATCATTAGTAAAATTTAAAGCAAACAGCTCCATAAAATGAACGATTTTTCCTCGATTTCTCTGTAAAGTTCGATCTCCATAAGACAATTAATATGTCTTTGCAGCACTTTGTTTAAGACGCGAAAAGTTTATCTGCTGAAATTTGTCACGAATTAGAAACGAATTAGAAATACAAAAATAGATATGGCTCAAGTGTTTTGGCGAGTCCACTTTATCACATACACAAGTGTTTGAGTACCAGAAATATTTTTACGAAGATCATGATGTCAACGAGAACTAGACTCATGCGAGTTGTCCGTCCAATTCTGTAAAGAAACAGTGCTTAAAAATTTGTCGTATTGGCATCAGAGATCTCAGTCCTATGGAAATCCTATGGATCGGCTCAACCTTTTTAATGTTTTGGATAAGAAGCCCTTCCATGCTGAATTCGTACCACAATAGCTACATATTTCTCTAAAAAGACAGCATATAGAGTAGCTGTGTAGCCTGTATTCATCCAAGGTATCATTACTGGTGAGGTGATAGTCATGTGTTTATAAATATGAAGTTGAAGCTGTCCAAATCCGAATATTTGGATCCAATTTGATGAGATGAACACTCATCAACAAAATTATGGCCTATAATATTACACGACCAGGCACCTAGTCTTTAATTGAGTTTTCTTCAGTGGCAGTATGCAAAAAAATATTGGTTTCGGTTGTTTGAAAAGAGAGGCACGTAAGCGGCGGGCTGCAGATACCGCACTTGGCCCTTCATTAGGCCCATTGTCCTCCCGGGTGGTAACCGATTGAAGACTTATCCAACAACTCAGAGGATTTGGTGAGCAATCTACTTATTTTCCACTCCAGCTACCCAACATCATTTAAGTTGGACTATTGAGAGCCGTGAAATTTCGCGGGTAAATTATATTTCAAAAAAATGTATTTTTCTAAGAGGGAAGCACGGTCCTTAAGTACTATGCCAAATGTGAATAAAAGGAAAAACGAGTCGAAACCAAAAAAAAAAAACACACCAAAACCGCTCAAACATCAAGAGACTCACAGTTTTTTTTTTTTTTTTTTTTTTTGTATATGCGTGGTTTAGTGCATCACGATCTTTTTTCGGACGGATAGACGTCAATAAATAATTCTATGTGGTCATATATGAGGCAAGAAATGCTTATAACAGTGTTTCGAGGACTGGAAAATCGTTGGTGTAAGTTTACTACATATGCTGGGGATTACTTTGAAAACAAGCAAAGAAATATTTTCATATTATTTCAAATTTCCGAGTAATTTCTTGTCGCAAGGCATGCTTATTTCTTTTAATAAATATATTTTCTAATTTTTTATGTTATTTATTAGAACCGGGAAATATATTGCTTCAAAAGTTATGCTCAAAATGTAAATACTCCTCTAATACTCAACACAAATTTCCTTAAATTTAGCATACTTTTGGGATGCCAATTTCCTTTAAATAAACAACAACACCTGCTTTAATAGTGACTCATTAACAAGGGACCATGCACATGCTTGCTTAGTTAATTTACAGTTTTCACGTTGCACAAGTTTACGCTTAAGCACGCATTTTTATGCCAACCCATTTGCCGTAGCGCCGGCAGAACTACATAGTAAAATTTCTTAATGAAAACCAAATGAAATGTATCAAAATCCCGGAAACGTGTATCGAGGTGCTAACACGCATGCGGCAGCAGTGGCAACAAATAGCTGCAACTACAAGATAAGCCAATAAGTCAGTCAGGTCATGTAGTCAACTCGTTGAGATGGCGCGCGGCAGAGGCCCCTTGGGCGTCACACGCATTTGCTTAAAGAAAGCAAGCGGCAAACAAACAGCGCCACCGTACAACGCCTTACACGCCAGCAGCCAGTATATTTATTTAATAAACGCACAGAAGATGCTACATGCAACAACAAAAACAACGGACGGTGAATGCAATAACTCAAGAAGACACAACAGGGGCCGCTGCAGTTGTACGATCGTTGCGGTAGACAAGCACACACACATACAGCGAAAACTGCTTGCTAGCACGTTCGCATTGAACGCGTGCAAAGTGCCAGGCAACACGGCGAAATGTGTTGCGTCCCACAAAACACAAAACACAAATAGCAAATGGCAATTCTACGGAGCAAAGTAAACATGCAAGAGCAATAAGTAAAAGAACGGCATAACGGCATAACTGCAAGAATTCAACGATGATAGATGAGCGCATGTGTGCGTGTGTTGCGGCAGCTTGTCTAAGACAAAGTCGAAGACGGTCTTTTGTGTTACTCATACGCCCCATACTCCGTGCACATGCATGTATGTGTGTGTGCAACCAGCTACAACAAGGAAAATAACAGCAAAACACTGGACCGGTTGCACAAGATTTTATTTATGAGCGCAATTTATGCATCGCTCACAGACGCAGCGGGACTGGGTGCCTGGTTGATGAACTGCCCGCTCAAGCCGCCGATGGCGGAGCCGGAATGGCCTCATAAACTGCCACACAAATTCCCAAACTGTTCGAATGCTGGCATTCAGAAATGCCACTGTCATCCTGTTATGCGTTTGTATACACCTATGTGTGTTTGCGCATATTTATTCGCATATCGGCCACTATAACTTTCAAGGAAATGAGCCGTAGTGGCAATTTCACCAAATTTTATGCCAAAATTTCATGGATTTTGGCAAATTGACCGTTAAGTGCAGATGACGGCTATTACTTCACTATTATGTTGATAAATTTGGTATGTGATTTGTTTATATATAACGGGATTAATATGTGTAGCTTAAAATTGGGCCTCAAAGCTAGACAGACACTATAATAATTTCATGTTAATTTAACAGGGGCATAATCAGGCAGGTTCTGGAATCCGAGTGAAAGTGAATATGAAAATAAACCTAAATCCGAGTGAATTTGGATTTGGTGTTCTGAAATCCGAACTTTTTGTTCATTTTAGAACTTGTTTTTCATTCACCGCAAAAATGAACTTAACAGCTGACAGCTGTCAATTTTCCCAAAATAAATTATAAATTTTTGAAGAGAATGGAACCCGCAGTTGCTGAGGGAGTATTAAATGATTCCACACTGGATACTGAAGCCATAACTTTAAGAGAGAATATAGCAACTCATCTTCATACAATTTCCTGAAAGTTTAAAGCACCGAAGTAAATAAAACAAACTCAAATTTAAAGTCACTTTTAAAATGTCATTAATTTTAATATCAATATTAAAGTTAAAATTAAAATAATTATAAATTCACTAATTTCAAAAAACTCAAAACATTTAATTCAAAATTGTACATAAATAGATTAAATACAGGTACGGTCATAAGGTAAGTTATTATTGTAAAAAAAACATCGCTGTGTTTATACTTTTWAAAAAACTATAAAAGAGGAAATTATGGAGTACACTTGTATTTAAAACTCATTTTCAGCTCCGCCAATTCATACTCTTTATATTTCATTTCATTTTCTTCTTGTCGCAGCCGCTCCATTTCGAAATGGTGTCTTTTGTTCTCCTCAGTCAAGTCTTTTACTCTTTCACAAAGGCATTGAATGCTAGTGTCAATTTCCTTTGTGGCCTCAATATTTTCTTGCAACCCATCTACAATACTTTTCAAGGCACCTGTCTGCTCACCGATATTATTCCTTAAGTGGTCGGTTACCATAGGCTCACGTCTTCGGAATCGAGGAGAATCGCTTGTAGATGGGACGTTGTCATCATCGCTGGAAATCTCTGAAGGCCCATCGCAGTTTTCAGAAGGGACACCAAAGTCTGCTGTGCTGGGAATACCTTCCACCACGGTATATATACCACATAATTGGGCTATTGTGTCTTCAGTTGGAGTGAGGATGTGCTTGTTGAATGGCCCTCCTCCTGTTGCCTTCGCTTCTAAGTTGTTGTGTGCAAACCTATTGAAATATTATTTCAAATTAAGAAAAATTAGTTAAAGTATAAAAAAAAAATTATTTGCTTACCTTTTTCCAACCAGAAATATCTTTCTGTGGTGGACCATGCAAATTTAATTCTGTCACCACCTCTTTCCATAGGGCATCAACTTTTATGCGACTCCATGAAGTGGACAAGGATCGCTTCCTGCTCCGTATTTTTATGTTTACCCCTATAAAAATAATATTTAACTTTAATTGCTTGTTACAGTTTTAAAACAAAATATTCAAATTCCTATTTATTCCAATAATCAAGCGTTTTTATTTACTTACATATTTGCTCSCACCAAATTCACAATTTCGAACTGAAGTGAATGCTAACCGACATTTTTCTTGTGAATTCGTTTTCCAGAACATGCGTATTCACTCGGAATTCATTTTAGAAAAAATGTGGAATTGAAATTGTGAAAGTGAAACACAGAACACAAAATATCGGATTGAAAACGAATTTGCTAGATATTCACTCGGAAGTGAATTCCAGAACCTGCCTGAATTTTATTAGTTACTATAAGAGCCGTGACGTTTGTTACATGCAACAAAACTGCGTTGTGAAATTATTCATTAAATTTTGGTACATTGGTTAATTTTGATATCTCCATATCACGCTGCGAAAATAAACGAAATCAGACTTCAATCAGTCTATAACGCAACTTTAAATTCCCATAATTATTCTCATCTCCTTATACCGAAGTTGTGAATTCCAGTGCGTATGGCTGACCCTTTGTGGAAAACATCGGTCGATGTTAAAATATGGCTATTAAAATAATGAATCGGTGTTTGAGAATCGACGATCAATGGCCAGAGATCTTACTGAATGAATTTTGACGGATCATTTGGGCCTAAGCAAAAGGAAATTTGATTGACTCGATTTTTTTTTTTTTTTTTTTTCAAGAAAACAGCGTCACATTAACGGTTGTGAAACAATGCTTTCCGACCAGGATGCCATTAAGCGTACTATAACTGGCGAAGAGTCTGTGATCTATGCTACCAACCCGTCAAAATATCTTCTCAAAAGTGACTGTATTTTAAAGAACTAACTTTGAAAAAAACTGTAAAAGTAAATTCAATGTTGGTATTTAAAAGGTATTTGGAAAGAGGTAGGTTTGATTAAGAAGCCGATACTAATAGGTATCTACTCTGACAATTTAGAAAGATCAGTTGTACTTGTATTAACAAGAACTCCTATATAATTGATCATAACACTGTCCCAAATCGACAAAACCCTTTGAGCCTAACCACAATTTGTTGAGACGGCTAATATTAGTCTCAGCTATGTATGTCTCCTAGTTCGCCGTGATGTAAAGGCTGACCAACGGAAGAGAAAGTGCATGGGTGCTTTTTAATCACCTTCCGTCTTGTCAAGTCGGAGCAGTCTTTGCCCAAGGCCTGATATTCGCACACGAGGTCTATTGATCCAGTGCTAGAACTCAAGATGACAATGGGGATCCAACTTTTCCTTTCCGACGTGAGCGGGGCTAGGGTGCCATCTCTTGTTAGCACATCAACTAATGCATACGCACATACGCTAATATCGTCCAGCCGCAGTCTCTGAAATAAGCTCCTCTTTCGAGCAGCAAGTGCACTGCTGACTTAATAGCAGCCACTTCTGGCTGAAAAAAAAAAATACTGTGGAGCGGTTGCCAAAGAGCTCCTTATCTTTTAGCTTGGACTCACCCGTGAGAAAAAAACTTACTACGTTTCTTTTTCAACGAACTCTGCTCAAAAAATAGAAGTAGACTCTGCGATGTAGTGATATAAGTTTTCAGGGATGCACTTGAAAAAAGAAGAATTTCAGCGTTTTTCATACGCTAAGTGCTAAGTATATTTAAAATGGGATTACCGGTGTAGCTCACAGAGCACCCGAGACGCCGATCTTCGAACACGACCAAACTTCTTAAGGAGCGTGGACTTTTCAATCGCCCTCCATCAAACGAATAAACCATAAGATATTATTGGCTTCACCACCTATGATGGGAGTATCCACTTTTTACTTATAGCCCTTCTACATCAATATAAAACAACCCATCTGCGCAAAACTAATACGGCTGTGTGAACTGAACCCCCTCCGAGCTGTTTGATACCAAGTAAGGGTTCAGACAAGGAGATTCCCTATCGGGCGACTACTCACTTCGATCTAAAAAAGAGTGTACAACTGCTGGCGTTTGCGGATGATATTGATATCATAAACAAAGAAGCGATGTAAATAGGTCTAGTAATAAACGAGGGCAAGATGAAATATATCCTCTCATCAAAAAACATAGCCGTCGGTTCGCGACTTGGTTATTGGTTCTGTATTCATATTATCAATTTATTCTGTCATGGAACCAGTTAACATGTCGTCCGAATAGATGAAAACACTTCAGGTCTGAGAATATTGGACAAAGTACCCGCCGTTGGAAAGAGAGGAAAAGGAAGACCTCCACTCCGTTAGAAAAAGAAGGTGGGAAAGGACCTAGTTACATTTGGTATCTCTAATTGGTGCGAACAGTGAAAAGAAGAACGTCTGACATGTAAGCGGTGTCTACGGCAATAAAGGAGCAGAAAGCTTTCTATCAAGTGAAAGCTTTCATCAATGAATTACTCTTTATTTCACACCTTCAGTAAATAAAGAAATTTCGGTTATACTCAGGTTGACTTTTTATTTTGATTAGTTTGGTATACGGAATTTAGAAAGCTTCCTTTTGCTCAAATATCATTAAACATGCTTACTTATCGGCAAAGTCGAAATACTATTGAATATAAATAACTATTTTTAATATATCAACCATACATAAATATGTAAGCACATAAACATACTCATGCATTTACATGCAATAAGCATCAATTAATAATAAAAATGCATGGGTAAGTCATTAATTTACAGATCAGATAACATTAAACACACACACACATATACATGTATTAAAGTACACTTGTAAACAACCCCATGTCAAGCAGCAATAAACAATATGCTGCAATGCATACAAACATACGCATATTTTTAGTTATTTAAGATAGTTTTGAAAATTGTATTGAGCAATGAAAATAGCAAAAAATATTAGAAAGAATGTATTCTCACTCAAGCAAAGACGTTTCATTTCCCCCCACCAGTGGTAAGAAATGACAAATTCTTTTTTGTGGTCAAACAGAAAATATAATTATCGAAATAATGAATATATACTTATCCTTAGCTTCATTTAATAAAATACATCTGGCTCCACCTTTTGACGGTCCTCATTCCTTTACTTAAAAATATTTATTTTCTCTCTTCAACTTATTGAGGAGATACCACTTCCAGCCATCTAAAATATGTAATATGTACCGAAATTACTTTATGTATTGTGGTGCCATTGTTCATCTCTACAAATATGCAGCTTAAAATTCATGAATAGAAATTGTCTTAGATCTTCTCTCCCTAATTGAGTTTACTCACGTTCACGTTTCCTAAAAACAAATACTTAAATAAATTAACATCAAAATCATTTTTTATAATCGATTTCATGTCAGTGATCTTGGTAAAAGTTCTTCACCCCGCATATTTATCGATCATGTTCTAGTTTGCCGAGTTTCGTCGTAACCGTACCACCAAAAACAATAAGTTAACGAATTACTCTACTGAATGTGAGCTCAAAAGGCTATTTTTTCTTTCCTGATTTCATAAAAATTATATGTAAGAAGTAAGGAAGGCCTAAGTTCGTGAACCGATTTCACCCATATTTGGTACATGTCATCACGTTGTTAAGAAAATATTATATACCGAATTTCATTGAAATCGGTTGGGTACTTCCTGAGATATGGTTTTTGGTCCATAAGTGGGCGACGCCACGCCCATTTTAAATTAAAAAAAAAAACCTGGATGCAGCTTCCTTCTGACATTTCTTCCATAAAATTTAGTGTTTCTGACGTTTTATGTTAGTCGGTTAACGCACTTTTAGTGATTTTCAACATAACYTTTGTATGGGAGGTGGGCGTGGTTATTATCCGATTTCTTCCATTTTTGAGCTGTATATGAAAATGCCTGAAGRAAATGACTCTATAGAGTTTGGTTGACATAGCTGTAGCAGTTTCCGAGATATGTACAAAAAACTTAGTAGGGGGCGGGGCCACACCCACTTTTCCAAAAAATTACGGCCAAATATGCCCCTCCCTAATGCGATCCCTTTTGCCAAATTTCACTTTAATATCTTTATTTACAGCTTAGTTATGACATTTTATAGGTCTTCGGTTTCCGCCATTTTGTGGGCGTGGCAGTTTGCCGATTTTGCCCATCTTCGAACTTAACCTTCTTATGGAGCCAAGAAATACGTGTGCCAAGTTTCATCATGATATCTCAATTTTTACTCCAGTTACAGCTTGCACGGACGGACGGATAGACGGACGGACAGACAGACATCCGGATTTCAACTCTACTCGTCACCCTGATCATTTTGGTATATATAACCCTATATCTGACTCTAGTTGTAGGACTTAGTTATGTGAACAAAACTATAATACTCTCTTTAGCAACTTCGTTGCGAGAGTATAAAAAACGATTACTTTGAAGGCCTTCAATCTTCACTATATACGACTGGCTTGGAAAGATGGAAGATAGTTATAACAACTGCACCACACTAGATGGAAATTTTCTCGAAGAATAAAACCATATTCTCACTTTAATTTTAAAAAAATTTTATCGCATTTTAGAGTCAATGACTTCTCTTTTTCGTACATCTTTTAACTAGACAATTACACTTTAGAAACTATGAATCTTCTAACAAATCACTTTACAACAAATAAAAGAACTTACTGTTAAATATAAAAAACAACTCTAAGCAACGGCAGTACTTCCGTCATGCCATGCTTAAATATACCGTAGTGATTCATTGCATAAATATTTGCATATTTATGTCCACAATCAGGTGTGTAAATTACTTATGTATGCATGCTAACGGTTAATTGTATGGATTGTGAACAAAACTGCATTGCAGCCATGAATTCCCAGTGCTTTTCAGTTTTAATTACAACTAACCAACTTCATCACGCTAATCAAACATAATCGCATAATAATAATCAAATAAAACAACTAACACTTGCACACTTAGCAAACTACAAAAAAACAACAAAAAACAAAAAACAAGGACTCGAGTTGCCTCAGCTTGCCTTTTCGCTCAAATGCAATCACTTTTACATATATTCATAAGTCCGTATTTGCATGTATGAGTGTGTGTACTCCCTGGCATGTCGAGTCACCATGCATGCTACGGTCTACCTCTTAAGGATACGAGCAATGCTACGAATGTGGCATGCCAGGATCATCACAGAGCCGCTTGGAGTAGCTAAAAAAATACAGCAACAACAAGTCGCTTGCAGAAAGCTTCATAAGTGTAGCTGAAAACAAACTTTTATTTGCCTTCGTCACATTTCTATTTGTGCATACTTTCATGTTTTCCGGAAGCGACCCGACCGCGCATCCTGCTCACTGCCCACAAGCGGACGGCTTAACAAAGCTATTGTGGTCAACTTAGTATATGTGACATCCTTGCCAACGGGTGGTACATATGTGAGCTCAAATATAGTATAAGATATGATGCAAGAGATCGTTATAAAATAGTTAGTAAATATGTTTTATCTCTTCCTGTTTTGAATACGGGCTTAGCTCGATGGTTACAGCAGTATCTCTTTTAAACAGATATTATAAGAGAATAGGAAACAATTATTTTATTGTGTTTTGAACACACATATGTCGCATGCCTTTGCAGAATCGACACACAGTTCGCAGCCTGGTACAGGGACAGTAGCGAAACTATCATCCTTAAAACACAAAACCAACCAACGCTTAGTTGGGTCTGTGAGAATTACAAAGGGTATTCTGGAGTTAAGTTACTTTAAGGTCTTATACTATATAATAAACAGTTGAACTTACGTAACTCGAACTCTTGAATTGGTAATAAAAGTCAAATATCATTCATATTTCTCTCTCGAACTCGAAGTCTCTCTAACTTGTAGCTTTTTTTGTGGATTATGTTGATTCGAGTTAAGGAAGTTCACCTGTAAAGGGTTCTTTAATAAGAGCGCTCTTTTGACATTTCTCTTCAGCAAAGCTTGCCATTTCATAATGAAAAAAGAAACCATCCAACAACAAGTCGAAATTACTAAAATTTACTGCCGAAATTTGAAGTTAGTGGCCTCAACTTTAAGAGCGCTACGTTCAATTTATGATTGTCATAATCGTCCTGTCAGATCAACAATTAAGTTTCTATGCATAGGCACAGTACAAAATGTTTCCGCGCCGGTGATATGAAGAAGTGTCGTGATCGTAGCGTCGAGAATATTGCTGCCGTTAACGCCTCAGTTGAGGAAGACCCAAATCAGTCTCTCACACGCGTTGGTCATCTCTGTGACGTCGTTGTAGCAGATTTGCGAACATATCTTGTTCTACATCTTAACCAGCCAGCTCAACTAGCAGCCACTTGAACACGAGAATCGTCATACTTTCGTGAATTGGACTGAGCAACAACTTGAAAATAATCCGGATTTTCATGGAAAAATCATCTTCAGCGATGAGGCTCATTTCTGGCTGAATGGCATGAATCGCCATTGCATCCCGAAAAAATTACATTTTGGTGCGTTTTATGGGCCGGCGGCGTCATTGGGCCATACTTCTTCCGCGATGGTCAATACCGGCACGTTACTGTAAATGGGAATCGCTACCGCTCAATGATAACCGAATATGTTTAGCCCAAATTTGACGATATGGACTAGGGCAATATGTGGTTTCAACCAGACGGCGCCGCAAGCCACACAGCGAATGTCACAGTCGATTTACTGAAAACCAAGTTTAGTGATCGTTTTATCCTACGATATGGTCCAGCCAATTAACCGAGTATCGGCCGATTTATGCTTGAAACCCTTCGAAAATTGGGTTCAGCGTCTGTACATCTGCAAGCGTGCCGTGGTGGCAACGCAAAACAAATCGAGTTCCATACATAATGCCATCGAATGTCACATTATATTCAAAAACTTTGTTCTTAAGTCTCTTTTTAACTATGGTGAATTAACAAATATTCAACACAGTAATATGTTAGCTGTAAACCTAAATCCTGGTTTGAATTCCAGAGTAGAAAAACATCGATCTCTACCTTTTGTATATGATGAAATCATCTACGCTTTAATGCTAAATGTCTGCTCGAAGATTCATCTATCAACTTGGGTACTTTATTCTCTAAGATGAGCTGAGTTATAAATGTCTCCATTAAAGTTTTTAAATTTCTTTTCCATTTTGAAATATCATATACCGGAGATATCGTTTTTAAAGAAAACATCAACCGCTCAAAAATGCAGAATATATCGGTCTGAAATCAATTACAAGCATTTATCTTACCATACAACTGTTCGAACCGAGCACCAGTTATTATCTGAGAATTTATATCATACATGTCATGATTTATTGCAACAATAATCATTGCTTTGTAACCACCTTATAACAAGGTGTTCATATGTTCGACAGTTTCTCACATATTCATCACATACCCATCTGCAGTGCATAGGAAGTTAATAAAACAAATATGTGCCTTAGTGAGCTGTGACCGGCACCCAGAAGCAGATTGGTGGCAGGCAAGTGGCATCAGAGGCTAAACTCGTACGAGTCTTACACAAATTCCTGTTCGGTGGTAATGATTAAATTAAATTTACTGAATTTCGTTACAGTTAATCGCAGTTTGGGCAGACTTGTTTTGAAGGCCCGTCCACTTGAAGCTGCGGTTAAAAGTGTTCACAGAAAAATCAGACAGGTGGACAAATTTGACTTGCCCATATTTGCATATTTTGTGGTTTACGAAAGTTTTAGAAAACCACAGAAAACAGTTTTAGATTTTCTAGGGCAGATATTTGAAACTGAATATATGTCGAGCACTTATTTATTCAATGTTATTATTTATTAATAAAATCTAACTGATAACTTATTATTGTATCTAACTCTCATAATCAAATACCACTGTTTGGTTCATCACAGAACACTTACACTAAGGTTATAACCGTATTTAAAACAAAGCGACAATCTTCCAAGCGAAGCCAGGTCCTTCGTCTGGTCTTTCCAACGGAGTGGAGGTCTTTCTCTTCCTCTGCTTCCCTCAGCACGTACTGTGTCGAATACCCTTAAAGCGGGAATGCTTTCATCCAGTAGGACGACTTGACCTAGCTAGCGGAGCCGCTGTCTCTTAATTGGTTGAAATATGTCAATGTCGTYGAATTTCTCGTATAGCTCATTGTTCTATCAACTGCGGTGCCGTTGCCGAGGCGCAAAGGACCTTAAATCTTCCGCAGAACCTCTCATGTCATGTCATGTTGTCATCGTCCATGCCTCTGTAATATAT